TCCCCATATAACCCCCTTTTTGATATTAAAATAGTTATCTGATTTGTTACGCGTTTTAATTTTGGTTCTAAGACTCTGTTGTAATCATTTCACCTGCGGAGGATAGCGAGATAAAAAATTAGAACGTAAGGTTCGATAATGAACGCATTTAGACCTAGCCCCTGTGTGGAGGTACCAGAAGAAGTGGACCGATATTCCCCATCTTCGAATTTGAACTAAGTTTGGAAGAAATAATAAGATGTGCGAGGTTTGAATGAAATCCAACTTTACTGAAACGGATTTGGTCCAAAGAAACATGGGGTCTAGAACCAATATTTCGATGAGGCACATTTTCATTGTGTTAAAGTGTATACACCGTCATTAGCTGTAAGGCTGGAGGTATAATTATTCATTAAAATTTTCTGAAATTTGTATTGTTGTTTACATTATGGTTTACATAATCCGTTTTTAGAAATGTCGGTATAGGTCCACTTTTTGAAATGTTCCCTATATTTTCATATCTAGTACCTGCCCGTATATCTATGGTGGAGGGTATCCAAAGTTCGGCCCGGCCGAACTTAACGCTTTTTCACTTGTTAAACTTTATTTTCTTTTAATTACAAAGCTATTATACAGCAGATTATTGATATTTCACATTTGTATTGTTATAAAGTTTAAATAACAATAAAATGTAAACATTTAAAAAAAATCAATAAATAAAATATTGAAAAATATTACACTTAACTCTATATATTGCACTAGTGAGCGCAAATATGTCGACATTGTGAAAATTGAAAATATTAGAACGAGGCATAGTCATAGGAGTGTTATGAGAAATAGTAATATTAGCACCATTATTGGAGGTAAAAAAATATTTAAATGATCTAAATCTATATCACAGTTATTGCTATCACAGTTTGTCGCTCCACAATCAGAAATCCTAGACCACAAAGTACGAGGATTATCAATACCACTAAATATACTTTTACCAAATTGACGCTTGGCGTGTCGAACAACTTTACGAGCAATATTTTTATATTTCTTATACACCTGTTTATTGTAATCAGTAGAATTCTCAATAAAGGCACTAAAAGCTAAGTGCCTATTTCTGATAGCAGAAAGAACTGGCCGACTGAACCATCGATTTGAATTTGTTCTAATTAATCTAGTTTTTTCAGGTACATGAGTTTCAAAAATATATTGCTAAGTGTTATTCAAATAGTTTAGCTGCAAATCAGAACAAAAAAGAGAAGTTAATAGAATTTATGTCAGATATTAAGTTATCACAAATTATTGAATTGTAATCACGAAATGTTACATATTGTCTTTCATTGATTGTACGTAGTTTGTACTGCAAAAGGGCAAACGCGTGATTGGAATTAAGCGCAGGGAAATTGAACTGACTACTCTTAGAAATTGCGCCAACATCACTTACTAATGCATAGTCAATGAGCGAATATGAATTCCAATGAAGATCAATGTGAGTGGGTTTGTTATTGTGTACAACCGACAAATTACTCCTGGAAAGGAGATTTGAAAAGTTTCTACGAACAGAAATATCGAAATTAAAATCACCAACAATAACAATATCTTTATATCTAGTATATATATCAACAAGATCAGATTCCAAAGAATTAATATCACCGGTGGGCAAGTATACAACACCAATAATCAATCTAGATGTACCTGAACTTACATGAAGAAACAGAGCTTCACATACACCAGGTTTTGACATCTTTGAAATATATAATGCGACGCCTCCTCTACGACGACCTGCATGATTATTACGAAATATCTTATATCCCGGTACTTGAGCAGCTTTGTTGGTAATATCGGATTTGAACCAAGTTTCAACCACACCCACAATATGTAACAAGATAGATTTTAATATTTTTAACTTCATCAAATTTTATCGAAGTGGTGCTAGGATTAAGAGATTGCGTATTGAAAAACCCGATATTAATAGTATCACCGTTAGAGCAAAATTTTCTTATAAAAGCATCATCGCTGACAATCTCACCTAAAACATTACGTGAAACCATAAATGAAAATTAGAAAAATGTGCGTTAAAGACAAGTAATTAATTATAAACATCTTAACAATCTTTATATCGAAATCTGAAAATGAAATTAGCTGACTACAAAAAAATTACATAAAAGATAGCAACTATATTACTACAGTAAATGCCGTGCTGTTCTTCCGATTATCAAAAAACCGATATGACAGCACGGTATGCTAACTCGAAAACTCGAATCCGCATCTCGCATTTTTGCGTCTCCCTATGCATTCAGAATAAGGCGAGAATGTGATAGCGAAAAATTTTTTACATGCGAGATATCTCCCAACGTATATTCAGAATAAGGCTGATAGTTTTTTATGTACAATGACATTTTTAATGATATGTATAGGATCAGACATGGAAATACGATTATACAAGTTATTACATATATATCACATAGTGCTCTTAGTGGATTAAAATTAGATCTCATTCAATGTTAATTCACTGATTAGAAATTTGGAAACAATTTGACAACTTAAAAGTCTTATTAAAAATATAGCTCTAAGCATTAAACGCCTTCGGTCTAATGTTGGAAGATTAATGAGTTGTAAGCGATTATCAAAAAACCGATATGACAGCACGGTATGCTAACTCGAAAACTCGAATCCGCATCTCGCATTTTTGCGTCTCCCTATGCATTCAGAATAAGGCGAGAATGTGATAGCGAAAAATTTTTTACATGCGAGATATCTCCCAACGTATATTCAGAATAAGGCTGATAGTTTTTTATGTACAATGACATTTTTAATGATATGTATAGGATCAGACATGGAAATACGATTATACAAGTTATTACATATATATCACATAGTGCTCTTAGTGGATTAAAATTAGATCTCATTCAATGTTAATTCACTGATTAGAAATTTGGAAACAATTTGACAACTTAAAAGTCTTATTAAAAATATAGCTCTAAGCATTAAACGCCTTCGGTCTAATGTTGGAAGATTAATGAGTTGTAAGCGATTTCCATAGGAGGGAAGTGCTACAAGGCAAACCCCTAAGAGCAAATAACCGGAATAAACATTTTGTCACGTAACCACTTTGTCAAATAAAATATTTTGTTAACAAAAGAAATGACATTATCTAATTTGTAAGAACCAATAAAATAATCGGCAGAAATTGACCGAGATCTAAATAGGCACAATTGTTTGATTAAGTGTCATGCCGTTAATGTTGCAACATTGCAAATCGTCAGCAAAAAAAAAAAATGGCATATATGCATATTAAAACATTTTGTTGCCTATGGGCAACATTGGACCATAAAGGGTTAAAAATATGAAACATGAATCTAATGTACCTCCACATTCCCATTTAGTATTAGATAATGTGTAATGTAAGTCACATAACTTAACAACAATATGATTCATTGGACATAGAAATCGAAAAACCTTTTAGGTTTTTATTTATAATTCAGTGTATGTATTTTGTTTTGAATCGATTACGTTTCTTTGTAAGGATTGCTGAAACCTTTTGTGATTTTCACATTTAAAGAGATTTCCTGGGATGCATCCGGTTCTGACATTTGTTGACTCTAAAGCTCGCGTTTAATTATATACTTGCATATTTGACTAAAAGGTTTTTCTAACATTTTTAAAAATTCTCATAAATAAATTTGTTTTTGTGATTTTGGGTGTGAGTTTTTTTTATAGAATTATCTATTCATTATGATTTATCTAATCTTATTGTAAATCCCCATAAAAATATGTTACAGATGTACAAGTTTTTAAAATAGTCATATCCCTAATGTACATATTGAAAGAATCAGTTAAATTTGAAAAGAGCAATATGTTTGCTCTGTATAATACTTCAAATTCATCCATCACTCTTCACTATTAATATTATGGTAGGGAATTTTATCAATCACTCCTATTGCAGCAAATTAGAGGAAACCATTGTGATGTAGTTCAATTACTGTCAAAAATTTACTATAGAATAAATTTGTTTTTCATCAAAATATTTAAGAGAGCACCATTATATTTGTGGACTACGCAATAAAATACCACTGTGTTAACACTAGATTTACGGAATGAACAATTTTGACTGAAATCTGAAATTATGTTTTAAAAACATACGCTTGTTTTTATTTATGTACTGCCATAACTCCCAGACTGCAGACTCCCTCATTTCGCATTATCGAATTGCTTATACCGTATTTATCGCTTATATGGTTTATGAACCCTAAATCTAAAGGCGTTAAATACTATAACTATATTTTTGGTTTGTGAAACAATTTAACTCTCAATTAAACATTCATGTATCAAATGTGCTATGAAATTAAGAGTAAATATAAACAAATGAACATCACGCTACGCTACTAGCGCACGGTAGGTTTCTTCAAATGGTTATGTAAAATAAAAAAGCGCCCGTCTGTGCATTAGAATTAGTTGTAAAAGAACATGCCGCATTTATGGGCCTATCGTCCTTTAATTTTGCATGTGGATTCCTTTTTGCCCAAAAACGTTTAGACCAAAAACTTTATTTTTCCTGTTTTCTGGTCGAATCTAAGGTCACAAACCACGAAATTTTACATGAGGAAGATGTGGTCAGCTAAGGAAATTGAATGTTTTCATGACGATCGGTCAACATTTAGCGGCTTAAATGGACCAATACATACGTGTGAACATTCATTACATTTTTTGCAAAAATACACCTATACTGCACAATTTACTGGTTTGATAATGAATAATTTTTTAAAATTGAATAGGAGCTGTTTTTTCGTAATAAACTTTAATTTTCTTTTGTGAATCTAATTGGCTCACTTAAGTAGTACCAATTGTTTTTTAGGTTTTTAAATATATTTTCGTTGGATGGAATATTGTATATAATCGTTCTAAATAGGGGAACTTAACCTGTGGTACCGACACCTTTGCCGGATAACCAAGTTGTTAATGTAGACTATTTAAATTAAGAATTGTACATCACAGCTATATTTTAATTGCTCATATATTTTTACTTTCAGAGATTCCTGGAAAACCTAGATCCCTTTAAAGGCATGTCAGATACAGACATATCAAACTTTTTGTATCACGAAAGTCTTCGAATTGAACCAAGAGGGTGTAAACAACCACCTAAGTTTGTAAGTATTACTTATTGTGTGTATGATATGAAGTTAACCATTATTGTTTGCAGCCTAGAAAATGGAGTTCAATATCATTAAAATCTCCAGGCATTAAACCACGTCGACAAAATGTTAACGTCAGTGCCAGCAACATAACAACAACCAATGTCACATCGAATGCAAGTAATTGTGCTCAACCGATTACAGCACGATCTCCGGCAACAGAAACTAGCAGTGGGGAACAATCATCTCCTAATATTAGCGGTTATAATGCTATTGCAAATGATATACAAGCATTCTCTGTGTTTGCCAATGTAAATATACCTGAACGTAATGGCCCCAAATGGAACTCAACTGCTCTTAATAGTAATCAAAATACAAGTACACCTTCATCTTCGTCTTTCCTAACACAACCTTTATCTACACGAATTGACATCCTACAACTACCTGAGACGGACGATGCTCCACTATTACCAAAAAAGCCCAATGCAGCTACATGTCTACAAACAGCATTGAGCCCAACTTTTAGCGAAACATCTTCGTCAGTGCATTTAGATTTCATTGTAACTAATTTGGATGAACACGGCACACAGTCTGGAACACAATTATTGGGTAATCGCAATGCGAATATCCAGATTGGGGCTGAAAACGATGTATCGTCTCCTTTACCAAAACTGGTAGTTAGTCCATTACGAGAACATCATTCCATAAATAACCGACCATCATTCCACTGCACAACGTCCACAAATAAAACTAATAATACGCCGTCTTCTCATGTCAGGTAAGATATTGTATACAATTTAATTTTAACTTATAGTGAGAGTATATTTTGGTTTTCGGATTAAAATTCCAAAAGAGTTCAATATTTTATATATTTTTTAATAATTCAATTTCAATTTATTTATTTCTTCATGAATGGGAACCTAGCCACAAGGTCATGATTGGTTCCAAAAACCACTATACATCTACTATTGTGAAATCTGCCTACACTAATTGTATATGATTTCTTAAGAGGTTACCCCCCATTGCCATTTTCAAGAATGGAATGTAAATATAGCATAGAATATGTTGTGCTTTTGGTGTAGTAATATATATTTTTAGCACGCTTATCAAAATATCTACCTTGGGAAAGCCTAAGTTAATAAAACTGCACACTCCAAATATATATCAAAATATCTTCATTGGGAAAGCCTAAGTCAATAAAACTGTACACTCTAAATATGTAATGTAAATTTGATTTTCACTGAAATCTAGATGAATGATTTGTGAAAATACATACCGATTCGTTTACTTCATTTATTAACAATAAGCAATGTCCCAATGGAAATCTGGGTCCATTTGACCTGCTAGATATTAATTATTATTATTGATTATCACGAAAAAATCATTTACTAGAACGACGGGACAAAGCTTGCCAACAAATGCCAACAACATTTGTGCAAACTTCAATATATTTTGCGAAAACATAACCAAATTTATCCGAAAAATAATGGCTCTTAATGGACCGCATTGAAATGGTTATAGATCGATGTATTTTTAAAGGATGTACAGCGAAATCGGATGCGTGAAAATGAAAATAGATGACAAAAAGAAAAAATGTATGTTTAATAAAAATTATAGTAAGTGTATAAAAAGTACATTTAGATTCACTTATAAATATATAAAACTAGCGGGACTTGTGGCGCTTCGCTGCTCTTGCTGAAGTTATCAAAGTTAAATTTGTATAGCATATAGATATAATCAATTTTAAAATTAGGTAAACCCAGTTTTGTTATGCTTCCCTGATGGGTAACTGACATTAGTTGTATAGTAAGTGTTTTATTAATCGCTCTTTTCGGTAATGGTTGTTGTTGTTGTAGCAGCTAATACAGCTGTGTATTTCCAATTTTCTTAATCTGGTTCTGCCTCTAACTCCAAATTCAGAAAGGCTGCGACATGTACAAGCTGAGTCCATAGAGAAGATGGGGTTAGGAGAGTGGGCTTGGCTGGGCAGTTGAACAGGTGTAGCGTGTCATGTGGTCCATTACCACATGCCGGGCAGACATTGTCGACGAATTGAGGCGGCTACACCATCCAGATCTCAGTTGTGCCAAGACCACTCTAGTTTGTCGAGGTAACTGCTGCTCTTCTGCGGCTATCACAGGCGGATGGTCTCCGAGGAGGGTATTCACACGATATTCTTGAACTGCTTCCTCAACTGCGTCCGTGTGAATACTGTTCAATTCTGCTTGATAGGCCTGATAATCTAGAGGCTCCCTTTTGTACCTCTCTCTCCAGATCATGGAGATCCTTCCTGACATGCCTGGGTGGTGGGTGCCTATCCATTAGGTAGCGGTTCGGATGGCTGCTCCTATAACACCCAAGCAAGTATTGCATCGACAACATCTTGTTGTGTTGACGCACAGGAAGGATCTTCGTCTCCTCATGCAAGTGGTCTATTGGGGTCATGAGGAGACACCCTGTTGCAGTCCTCAGGGCGGCATTTTGGCAGGATTGAAGATTTTTCCACTGCGTTGCACTGACGTTAGCGGACCACACTGGCGCCGCATAGTTTACCACAGACCGGCCTATTGCTTTATAAGTCGTTAACAAGGTTTCCTTGACAGCTCCCCCAGTGCTGCCGGATAGCGACTTGAGAACCTTGTTTCTGCTCCTGACTTTATCGCAAATAGCTGTGGCATGCGCGGACGACTTATATAGGCTATCGAATGTGACCCCTAGAACCTTGGGGTAATTAGTGGTCGGAATTGTGGACCCCTCGACCTGCACATTCAAAGATAGCCTCATCTCCGCTGTCCATGTGGTAAACAGTGTGGCCGTTGATTTAGTGGCGGATATTTTCATATTCCTCGACCGGAAAAAAATCAGCGATATCCACGAGATAGTGATTCAGCCTCTCGCAAATGTCATCAATTTTAGGTCCTGACGCTATAATCGTGCAATCATCCGCATATGTCACGATCTTTATGCCGTCCGGTGGGCGTGGAATTCCAGAGAGGTAGAGGTTAAACAGTTCCGGAGATATCACCCCTCCTTGGGGAACTCCCTGTTTAACTCTACGGGCCTTCGATTTCCTGTCTCTGAATTCCACGTACGACTGGCGCCCACACATATAGTTTGCGATCCAACGTTTCAAACTTGGCCGGAGGGTTGTTCTCTCGATGTCCTCGAACAGCTTGGCGTGACTGACGGTATCAAATGCCTTTGATAGGTCTAGCGCCACCATGACTGTCCTGTTACACGGCCTGTTCTGGTTGAGTCCTTCTGCTATGTGTGCGGAAATGGCGTGCAAAGCTGTTGTTGTGCTGTGCTGTTTTCGGAACCCATGCTGATGATCAGCAACTGAGTAGCATTCACGAATGCTGGGGAGTAGTAAAGCCTCAAGTGTCTTGGCTACTGGCGACAAAAGTGAGATCGGCCTGTATGACTCACCTTTGCTGGCATCCTTGCCTGGCTTCAGTAGCGGGACCACCGTGCCCATTTTCCAGGCATCGGGAACTACTAGGGTGGATAACGACAAGTGAGGGCTTTGGCGAGATAATCTACTCCTGGCTCATCAAGCTGCTTCAACATCACCATTGAGATTCCATCTGGACCAAGCGCTTTGGATGATTTCGCGTTTCTGATGACATTTGCAACATCCTCCAACGTAAATTATGGTGGTTCCTCCTCCACCTGAAGAGAGCGTATACGGCGCAACACTCTTCTCTTCGCCCGGTCACTCTCGGGGTGCTCTATAAACTGCCGGTTGAAATAACACGCGCACCTCTTCGGATCTGTCCTCTCAACGCCGTTAAACGAGACAGAAGTCCGATCCTCCTTCTTTCCAGGGTTCGAGAGCGACTTAACCGTTGCCCACAATTTACTCACTCCGGTACTGATGTTGCAACACTTCAGATGCTCTAGCCACTTTTTCCGCTTATGCTCGCCGACTAACCTGTTCACTTCCAACGTCAATTCTCTGACTCTGGGGTTAGTATGGTTAGAACGACGAAGCTCATCACGCTCATTCGCTAGTCCCGCTGCCTCTGCTGGGAAGTTCGGTCTTAGTTCGGGTATACGACCCGCAGGTATATAGCGAGCGGCTGCAGCAGTGATGATGTCCCGGAAATTCCTTTCTGCTACCCGAGCGTCAGAAGGGATGGACAGTTCTCTGAAGCGACGATTGGTGAAATTTCTGAACTCTTGCCAATTGGCTTTCCCATGATTAAGGAAAGTACGGCGTTCAGAAGTTATGAAATCGGGTGGTCTGTTGATGGATATGAGAGGAGGTGGTCTGACCCCAATGATATGACGGGTTGCCAAGCCACGTCATTCGTCAGACCCGGAGACACGATGGATATGTCCGGTGAGCTTTGGCAGTCTCCCCTTATCCTGGTGGGTATGTCCTCGTTCACCGTGCAAAACGTTGAGCTATCAATTTGCTCGGCCAGCGCCATGCCCCTCTGGTCATTACCTAGGACGGAATGCCATAACTCATGGTGTGCATTGAAATCCCCTAGCACCAGACGGTTATTGCCTTCCAAAAGATGACTAATGTCAGGCAAATAACGCGGGGCACAGCTATTTAACGGCGGAATGTAAACGTTAAGCACCTCTACCTCGGCGGTACCACATTTGACCGCTACCCCCATACATTCCATGTATGGGTCACTAGAGTCTAGCTCAAGCGAGATAGGTCTGTACTGGACAGAATGGTGCAATAGGAATGCTAATCCTCCACCTCCACCTCTTGTGCGATCCTTTCTAATAACGTTCTATCCATCACAATTTTGAAGACTGCAGGTGTTGTTCAGCTTCGTTTCTTGGATCGCAGCGACCATAATACTTCTTCGACTCATAAAATCCACTATCTCGTTGATTTTCCCTCGAAGTCCATCGCAGTTGAATTGAAGAAAGGATACATTATCAGGAGTTGCGACAGCAATATGCGGTGTTAGCGGCTGCGGCGCAGGTTGCTGCTGCGGAGATTGCGGGGGAGTCACGTAATCCGAAGACGACGACGATGATGACGTAGACCACGGTGACGACGACGACTCGCTGGGGACTGCATTGGCGCAGCAAGAAGCAACGTAGTCCCTTTCGCTATACTCCTGTATCCGGCTAAGGCCGGAACAACTCCTGAAATGTACCCATTCTCTGCATCCGTTGCATCTCACCGAGATAGATCTGTGGTGGATACTGTTGTGACAAACTGAGCAGAACCATGGTCCGGGGTTTGTCTCAATCCCGGCACGGACCAAAAGAATCCGGAGCAAGCATTCCGGGTAATGATGCTCCCATGTTGAAAAAATACACGTAGTATTTGCTGGGTTGACAGCCCTTGGTCTGAAGTCGATTCCTCCGAGTCAATGGTGGTAATTTTTGGAAATTATTGTTTATTTTCCAAATATTTAAACGTGCACGACACAAATTGGTCAACACACACATTTCTCGTAAACAGTTCATTTGTTTTTTCCAAGATTTGAAATATATTTTTCATATTCAAAATTTTTTTTTGAATAAAAATTTGGTATCGACAATTTTGTGAATTTATTTCAAAATATATCCTCATCGTTCCAAAATATATCTTCATCGGATGATGATCAACCAAATGTTCAATCAATATTAAGATATACCCATAGAAAATTTACATACGTACGTATGTATGAATGTTTGATGCTATTACTCCGCATCCACACGGATTTTTAGAAGTTTATTTATGACATGCTGTGAACATTTTTGTAACATATGTTTAGATTGTTTTTGAGCCCACGACAAAATATGTTTTCTATTTTCTATGCAT